GAGAGGGAGAGAGAGAGAGAGAGAGAGAGAGAGAGAGAGAGAGAGAGAGAGAGAGAGAGAGATTGAGACACCGACCACGACCGCACGGAGGGAAGAGAATACGCAAGGAGAGAGTGCAGAAAGAGAGCTAGTCTTATTTCTATAAATCATGTAGTAGATTTAAGGTCCATGGGTTACTACACAAAGAAACCAGGTAACTGATTTTTATGGAAAACAAGGTGGAACCATTTGGAGTTCAAAAAACCAGGTTTTCTGAAAAAACAAGGAAAAACCAGACTTCTGTCTCTCCATGGGTTTCTAGCGGGATGGCTGATTTTTAAGTTTGTTGCTCTGACCACAGCTATCTTTTGGAATTAGCTCCAGGACCCCTGTAGACACCAAAGCGGGATCAGGGCTAGGTGCTCTGAGTCACCCCGACGACCTGAGTATTTGGGAAGCTGTGTATGAGTTATACACAAATCCAGTATCACTTCCTTGGGACTCTGGCATCCAGACTTTCCTGTACCATGGATCAGTTCTCTCCTTAGATACCAAGACAGGCAACAGGGAAAGGAAAGAAATGGCTCTCCCAGTCATATTTAAAGTTTTCATCTCATGCCAGCCATGGTATGACCTTTTTGTATGATAGGTTTTTAAAACGAGTTTTATATTCATTGTTTTGCTTGCGCGCGCGCGCGCGCGCGCACACACACACACACACACGTGTGTGTGTGTGTGTGTGAGTGTGTGTGTCAGATCCCCTGAAACCGGAGTTACAGTTGTGAGCTGCCATGTGGGTGCTGGAAACTGAACCCAGGTCCTCTGGAAGAGCAGCCAGTGCTCTTAACTACTGAGTCATCTCTCCAGCCCCATGGTGTGACTTTGTAAAGAAAGGTGTATGCATACATTGAACTGGAATTCTTTCAATGCACCGTGATTTTGTGTGCACGTGTGATTGCGAATGTGTGTGGAAGCACTTGTGGCAGGGGAGATCAGAGCCTGAGGTTGGCAGTCTTCCTCTAACAGTCTCCTCCCAAGGCAGGGTTTCATGGAAACCAGAGCTAGCCATTTGATCCAGTGATCTCACTCCAGCCCTCACTCTGCTGCTCCCCCAGTCCTGCTGGATTACCACTACTATTGGTTTACCGAATTGTAGAAAACCAGTGAGAAATTCTACCATGCTGGCACCTGCTCCCCAAGGTCTCAGTAGTATAAAGCTACCCGACCATCAATTCTGCTCCGCAGACATCTGGAGAGAAACCAAATACCATGTTCAGAACACGAATGCCCTTCTTCCTGTTCTCCAGGGTGTGACCACTTACTGCACACTCCAAATGGCCTACGCTGGGACCTCGCTTGCTGTAAGGTGGCTTCTGGAGCTCTCAACGTCTTTCCCTTTTCTTTTCTTTGGTTTTTCGAGACAGGGTTTCTCTGTGTAGCTTTGCGCCTTTCCTGGATCTCGCTCTGTAGCCCAGGCTGGCCTCGAACTCACAGAGATCCACTTGCCTCTGCCTCCTGAGTGCTGGCATTAAAGGCGTGCGCCACCATCCGGCTATCTTTCATTTTTCTTCCTGAGTGTTTGTTTGGCAACAATCTACCGTATCTAGTGTAAGAATTACACATATTGCCGGGCGGTGGTGGCGCACGCCTTTAATCCCAGCACTCGGGAGGCAGAGCCAGGCGGATCTCTGTGAGTTCGAGGCCAGCCTGGGCTACCAAGTGAGTTCCAGGAAAGGCACAAAGCTACACAGAGAAACCCTGTCTCGAAAAACCAAAACCAAACCAAACAAACAAACGAAATTACACATATTGCCTCTTGTCTTTAAACTTAACTTGTAATGTGGTGAATGAGTCTGATTTAACAAAACAAAAACACAAAAACCCCTCCAAAGATTCAAGACACATTTGATATATGGATTTTACAATAAAGTTTATTAGCTGTTCTCCTCTTTCTCATAAATGGAATGGATAATGTTGGTAATTTTTTTACAAACCAGTACTCATTTAAGAAATTTTAACAAGGTTGCCAAAAAACCACATATTGAATAAACAATTCCAAAGAGCAATGGGAAGCCAAATGATGATAATGATGGACTAGAGAGACCGATTTCTGAAGGCCTTCGGCCTCTCACTACAATTGAACAAGTTTGCTGTGAAGACCTGTGCAGTTCTAGTACAGCGCAGCCACACAAGATGAGTGAGGTCTGGGACATCTCCAGAGCGGAGCTTGTTCGTCTACTAAGGAGAGAGAGCTAAAAGGAAAGGCGGAGACCCAAATCAAACTCCACGACAGGCACACAACACCGACAGGAAACCTAGGACTCCCCGGGAGCTTCTGTAGGAAGAGGAGAACACGCTCACACGGCTACCTGCAGTCTAGTTTTCTAGGATTTCCTCACCACCACCATACACTTGCTTTCAGTTCACATGATTAAGGAAGATAAGTCTCATCAATTAATACTTAATTTAAAAACCAAACAAAAAGTTAGAAGTAGGTGGCAAAAGAAAAATATATTTTAAATATATATATATGTTTGTGTGTGCAACTATGTAAAGAAAATAATTCCCATAGTTACAGAGTTTAGTTAACGAAAGTTTTATATATATTTATATATATTTTATTATAACAAAATAGGCAGTTATTGTGGGTAAAATAGTCATTAAAATCTGCCCCCCTCCCTAAGCATACATTAAAATTTCAGGCTATGAACTGGACCCCTTCCCACTGACATGATTATCACCACATCTCCACATTAACTTTCCTGTCCGCAGTTCTGTCTGTGGAAAGGTGAGCCCCCGAACCCCTCAACAGAGCTGTAATGAGAAGTGTATGGACAACACTAACCAGTGCTGCCCACACGGACTACAGCACACACCACTGTTCTTCCTCGCAAGTGGACGAGGGGAGGGCTCACACGATCAAGACCTCTCATGAATAACAAATAGCCCTCCTGAAATTATGAGTGAACTCAGACATTCATTGTGAAATAAAACCCCTACCTTTCTTGTCTTTAGTGAAATAATTACTTTAATACCAGAAGTCAATTGAGGAAAGAACTGGAGAGCTATTACACCGGCCAAACCGTGCTATTAAATAAGTGTGCACTGTTGCTCAAGGTCCACTGAGTCACTGATTAAAACCACCTTTCGTTCGTTTGTACCGAAACTGGAAAAGAATGTATATAAAGCTTTTCTGAAAATCTCTTAAAGTTAACTTTCCCTTAAACATTAAGGAATTTTACAATTTTGCATCTACCCAAACCCCTTGATAGCTGGTCCGGCTATTCCTCTTCAGTCTGAAGAATGGCCGGAAACCGAGAGTAACACAGAAGAATACAATGATGCAACATGAAGGAGACACTGGATGTCAATAACGGGCACAGGTGCCAACTGTGAGGGGTCTGAGTCAGTGTGAGAGGAGACTCGAGAGACTCCAGGACAGGGGGAGAAACGAGACCGTGGGAAAGGAACAGGAAAGCCATCTTCATAATTTCTCTTTTGCTGGGACCCAGATATAAGGACCAGACTGCTCTTCTATGACCTGCTTCACCTGGTTGTAGATGTCCTCCAGCGTGTCTCCCTGTACAATGGCTGTAACGACAAAGTCCCAAGGCCCGTGAGTTGTCTTTCTTCGCCATCAACAGTACTGTGGACTGGGAGAGGCAAACTCTGGGAGCAGCTGTACACAAGCATCTCCTACTTGCTCGGCAACAGCTGGTCATTCAGCTAATTTCACTACGTGGACAGCACACACACACACACACACACACACACACACACACACGGACCAAAAATGAGACGTGGCCATCCTCCTTTAGTTTGCTGTCATCTGAGCTTGCATTGGCTCACTCACTCACTCACTCACTCACTCACTCACTCACTCACTCACTCACTCACTCATCCGATGGTGCCTTGCACAAGCTAACCCCATGCTCTATCTCTGATTTATGATTTCCTCAACTTCTGTGGGAACTACAGAGAACAAGCACAGCTACGTATCTCGTGGTGGCGGGGTAGGATATTAGGGAAAGACAGCTGACTGGATTGTGCACTCTGCTGAAGTATGAAGTGTGCCAGGTCCTGGGTGTAGGTGGACTGATATACATAAGCCGGGGTCTTATAGTTAGAAACTATTAAAATCAATATTAGGAAATGTGTGAATAAAAAATGGCAACACAGGCATGTATTAAGGTGCATACCTATAATTTCACGACTTGAAAGGCAGAGGCAGGGGGGTTATAAATTCTAGGTCAGCAGGGGCTACACAACTAAATTCTGTCTCAAGAATCTCAAACAGAGCTGGGCGGTGGTGGTGCACACCTTTAATCCCAGCACTCGGGAGGCAGAGCCAGGTGGATCTCTGTGAGTTCAAGGCCAGCCTGGTCTACAGAGTGAGTTCTAGGACAGGCACCAAAGCTACACAGAGAAACCCTGTCTCGAAAAACCAAAACCAAACCAAACAAACAAACGAAAAACAAACAAACAAACAAACAAAAATCACAAACAGTAACAACAACAACAAAAATGGCAGTGATTACTCAGAACTAATTATTTGGGTACTTGGAGCCTCTAGTCTGTAAGGCTCAAAGGTGAGTTAATGAAACTAAAGAGGACTCCATGGAGCCAGGCAGGTGGCTTACAGAGACTAATCCAGCACTCAGAAGGCCCAGGCAGGTCTGTAAACGTGAGGCCCACATGGGCTAGCACCAAGTGTGAGCAGGTGTAAGGAAACCACAATGTCTAGTTTCTGATGGCCTGAGACATCTGGAATAAAATGCCAAATGGAGATGAGGTGTTAGGTAACACTGTCTGGCTGGTGAATGAGGTTAAGTATACCATAAGGAGGAACATCTATGTGCATAAGAAGAGCTTCTATGTGGCGAAGAATGTTGGAGTAATCAAAAGTTTTAAGTTTTATAATGTTTGCAAGTATCAGCTTTGTGATAGAAGTTCACATTCTGAGCTACACAGAGAATCCTTTAATATCTGCGGAGACACAGACATTTGGCAAACACCAGCTTCATCTGACTGGCTCACAATGCTTCACAGGGCAAGCCACAGTGTGGAGCAGTGAAGGGCAGCTGCTGAGGTATGCCTTGGGAAACACACACACACACACACACACACACACACACACACACACACACACACACACACACACACACACGCTTTGTTTACTGGGTAAGTTGTGGTTCTCCTGGGTTGGAAAAGCAAGAGGTCAAGGCCACAGACACCTCAGCCATTACAGCTGACACCACCCCACTAGGAAGAGTCCAGAATGGCACCCCAAGACTGCATGATGCAGAGGCTCAGTGTCGCTTCTTTGAAATGCCTGCTCCAAACTCAGATCCCACATCTGGGGAGATCACAAGCTTCCCCTTGCCCTTCACTCTGAAAGAATGCCAAGGTTATGACTGACTAATAAAGGCAGGCTAATGGGTAGTTCTAGATTAAAGCAGATCAATATACATCAATATACGTGCTCCTGGATTGGATCCTGAGTTGTTTTTTTTTTTTTTTTTTTTTTTTTGTCATTTCACTCTAACACTGCTAATATCTGGGGAAAGTCTGTATTACATGGTAAGATTATCAATGTTAACTTTCTTGAGTTTGATTAGCAGCATTCTCATTATATGAGGGATATAAGCAAACATTCAAATGTCCTTTTTTTTTTTTTTTTAAAAAAAATATTGACATATTTAGAAGTAAAGGGCATCTATTTGTAACTTACTCTGATGTTTTAGAGATAAAATGATAACATTTGGAAAATATGGGTAAAGGGCACGAGCTGTTCTTATGCTAATATTCGTATGGTTTCTAAGTCTGAAATTAAAAAAACCAGACCCCCTCTGCCTTCAGCACATGGCTTATGATGTCAGAGCACTTACTGGAACTCATGTGATCATTAGTTTACATGAGGTCTTCGAGGTACTGTGTGTCGTGGTCCCAGCTACTCAGGCAGCAAATGTAAAGAGTCACTTGAGTCCAGGAGCTCAGGGCCACCTTGGGCCACCCAGCCAGACCCTCTTTTCTAGCCAGGTCTCAGCTGTTGTACCAGCAGTGGGCTAGTTGCTGCCACAGTGGGGCTGTTCATAGTCCCCTCCAGCCCTCAGTAGCCTGTGTGTACCCAGTCTACAGTATACTGTTACTGTAGCAGAAAACACACTAAGACACATGATCCAACAATCTCATTTCTGGGTATATACCCGAATAAAAAAAATCAGTATATCAAAGAAACATCTGCAATTCTTTGTTAACCTCAACATTCACAATAGACAAAATAATGAAAACCACTTATATGTTTGTCAACAAAGAAAATATGGGGCATCTAAATAAAAAGGAATCCTATCATTTTTGACAACATGAATATACAAGACACTACACTAAATTAAACAAGACACATAAAACCAATTTTCCATGGCCTCATTTACCTGTGGAATCTAATCTGAATTCCTAGAGGAGTACAGTGACGGCTCCCGAGACTGGGAGTGGGGAGAGGAAGAAAACCTGATTAAAGGATACACACTCTCTTTTCGGGAGGACGTGGTGCTCGGGCCACAGACAGCACTGGGAAAAACAAGACCCTCCAAAGACCATTTCTGTATTTGATGTACAGCATGGTGACTACATCACCAAAGCAGACCTCAAGTGACCTCACCAACACACACCACACCAGAAACTGTGCTGACGGATGCACTACCATGACTGTGGCAATCAACTCACAAAGTATATGATATTACACTGTACACCTGAATACCTCTGAATTCTATAAATTCTATCTCAGTAAGCCCGGGGAGAATAGATCAAAATTTACAAAGGGTTAAGAGAGAAGGCCGAGGCTTCACAGAAGCAGTGAAGTTAAATCTAGTTTCCTCTGGTCGATTGTGAATTCTTCCTGTGCGCACACCACAGGAACACTACATCTTAAGGCTCCCCATTCCCAGCTAGGCTAACTTTTGAGTATTCTGTGGGATAAAACCCACAGATCTTGTAGTTTACTTTGAAAACTACAGGACTAGTTACTACGAGTAGATATGGATACAGCAAAATTCTCTCATAAAGGGCACTGTCACACATGGTTCCAACCTGTGAAATGTTCAGTGAATTCCTGTTCCAATTTCATGGCTCTCTCAAATGTTTTTCTGGCTTGTTCTTCTGTTAGGCGCTTATTCATTTCCCTATGCAAATAAATTTAGAAATTGGTGATTACCATATTGTAATACTCTTTGAAAAAAGATGAGAAAAGACATAAAATAATGCGAGTTCAACTCTGGCAAACCGTGGCCGTCACTAAGAACGGCTGCAGCCACAGGCCTGCTGCCCAGCACACAGTGGGAACAGGGCCGCAGCACTTTCTACACTAGCTCAAGGCAGCCAGCGCACTCCCCTCGGACAAGGCTCACTGTGCACGTCAGCATGACGTGATTCACAGGCCTATGTACCAACTCAGACTGTAAATGCACACACCAAACAGCACGATCAGAGAATAACAGTTTGAGGAAACAGTGAAATAACCTAGCTTCTTTGCTGCTTAAAGTGTAGTGGGATGAGAGAGAAGAAAAAGGAGGAAGACTTGTATATTACAAGTTTAATCATCTGTCCTGAGTAAAACTTATTTAGAACTTGGTTAGAGGGGAAAACTGTAAACATATGACATAAGGAAATCTGACTATATGATATTAAAAATATTAAATGCCACATTCACAGTGGAAAGGCTTCTAATTCAGTAATTACACTTCAAATATATATGAAATAATACATGACATTTATTTCAAAATAATCTGGGGGTGTGTGGACAGAAGTAGTAAGCCAATCCTAAATCTTCTTGCAGCGGCATGATGGGTACACAGGGATTTGGTCCCACTTGTGACAGGAAGCCTTTAGTATCTCAGCACGAAGAAAGGCATTTCGTGTGGCTATGGTGCAGTGTTCTTTCAATTGGGATTCAGAATTTCAATCAGGCATCAGAGTTCCCTAGACACTTCTTGTATGGTAGGTATAATGGTGATCAACTCCTGCTTTCGTTTATCTGAGAACATCTTAATTTCCTCATTTAAGAATTTTATTATTCTATGTGTCATGGTACATGGGCATACACACCATGGCATCCATGTGGAGGTGAGGCCACCTTTGTGGTAGTTTCTCTCCTCACCTTCACATGGGTTTCAGGGACTGAATGCACACAAGGCTTCTGCAGCAAGCTCATCTCCTCGCTGGGCTGGATCGCTGGACCCTCCCCCACTCTTGCTGTGTGTAGGGTTCTTGATTGACAGGCTCTATTTCTTCCGTGTTTTTGATGCACCGATTCACTGCCTTCGGACTTAAAGTTTCTGACAAGAACTCCGCTGATAATCTTACTGGAAAATCTCTTGGATGTGATGTGTCATCTCTCATGTTGTGTACAACACTGTCTTCCAACAGTCTGACTGTAATGTGCCTCTCAGGGCACCTCCATTTCTTTTGCTTGAACTTTACTCAACATCTTGGATATTTATATATATTTTTTTTTTTAAAAAGGTTTATTTATTTATTATGTATACAGTGTTCTGTCTGCTCGCCAGAAGAGGGCACCAGATCTCTATACAGATGGTTGTGAGCCACCATGTGGTTGCTGGGAATTGAACTTAGGACCTCTGGAAGAGCAGTCAGTACTCTTAACCTCTAAGCCATTTCTCCAGCCCTGTTTTAGAATTTTAATGGGGATTGTATTGAATCTGTAGAATTCTCTTGGTAGGATGGCCATTTTACAATGTTAATCCTGCTGATCCATGAGCATGGGAATTTCAAAACATGCAAACATTTAACTTGAGATCTTTTATTAAAATTGTTAGGATTCTTCTATGCATTTGTACATAGCCAGTGACTGCTCATGCTTATTTTTGCAAAATGTTTCATTATGAAAATGTCATAATTGATGTATTCGGCTGGTGGTAGTCATTTAGGTAGTTTCTAGGTGTTGGCTATTTGAATAGCACTTTTGCTGGCAAGCAAGTATGTTTGGTTAAAACAAGCAAGCATTTCTGTTGTATGTTTCTAGGAATGAGAGTTCTAGGCTAATCATAAATTAGCATATGTCAACCTTTCCAAGCTACTGTAAATTTATCAGTGTAGATTCACCAAGAGACTGTGAGGCATTTTCCGATGCTCCACATCTCTGTCAAGACGTGCGCTGTCTTTTTCCATTTTCGCTCTTTGATGTGTGCAGGTGGTAACATCAGCACGGCTTTCACTGTGTCAAGCTGGTCTCCTGCTGAGTGTGAGCCGACCGTCTGGAGGGCCTCTCAGTCCACGGCCTGATTTCAGCTGGGCCTGTGTCGACCTGCAGTGACTGCTGATGTACGCTGATGGCCCCTTCCCATTCTGCTGTTAGCACCGAATGCTCGACTTCGTTTCTTGGTCATTGTTAGTGTTCACTGTATTTCCAAAGACCATCTTTCCATCGACCTTCTCTGTTGTACGCCGACTTCCTATTTCACTAACTTCTCTTCTGCCTTCTTGGAATTCAATGGCTTCCAACTTCTCTTCCGCTCTCTGAAACAGCACCTCTCTCACTAGGTAGCCCAGGCTGGTTTGGGTTGTCAGCAGCCTCCCTAAGGGCCTCAGCCCTGAGAATGGGGTGTGACAACACGCCTGACGTGTGGTTTCGTCTGGTCTAGGCTGTGTCATCTCTCCTCACCAGAGACATGACATTAAGTCTGTTAGCGGTTTTTGTTTTTTAGTTTTTTGAGACAGGGTTTCTCTATGCAACAGCCCTAGCTGGTATTTATATGTAGTTCAAAACATTTTTCACTTTTTCTGGAATTTCCTTTTTAACTTATTCAGAAGTATAATACTCAGTTTTTAATACAAAGGCATTTGAATTATATTTTTTATTAATTTTGCTGTGGGCAGAGGATATTTGTTTTCAATCACTTGAAAACTGTACCTGAGCAGACGGTTTGGTAACTGTCATGTGTGTTTGAAATCAATGTGTATTTTGCATATGTTGAGTACAGTATTTAGTGAATATCGGTGTCAAGTACAGTATTTTAATGAACGGAATATTTAGGTTCATTGACACTATTTTTTCTCGTTTTTATTTTTGCTTTTTCTTTTTTAATTAATCCTACTAAACAATGGAATGATATGTTTCCATGTATGTATGGGATACGTGTGTCCTTGTATGTGTGTCAGAGAGCAGCGTGCAGGAGCCCTTCCTCCCTCTGCTCTGTGGGTCCTGGACTGCACTCGGGTCGTCAGGCTTGGAGGAAAGCAAGCGCCTTTGGGAACCATCTCACCTTGTGTCCGTAAGGAGCCACCATCCTTCATCTTTTTAATGGTTGTTATACAGCTGCACTGCCCGTTTATTACTATGAATGAAGATGCTGCTGCTGCTTTAACTCACAACACCCTCTAAGACAGGTGTAAACACTACTCTCTCCATTTTATATGAGACACTGCGAAGCACGCTGCCGTTAAAGGGAGCACCATAGGCATTATACTTACATGATATTTTCCATGGATTTGGGTTTGATAAAAATAGATATTGGGTAAAGTTGTGCAATCTGCAATCTCTTTATGGCATTTCCAGACACATCAAGGATACAATGTTTGCCCTAAAATAGAGACAATAAGGAAGAAAATTAAGTAAGTCGACCAAATCTTTTCAATTATATTGAAAGTGTCCCCCACAACTCACCATCTGAATTATTCTTCATTTAGATCCTTTTTATCAAGAAAAATTGTCATTTATCAGTAAATTTTAGAAGAAAAATTAAATGAAGAAAACAATGATTATGAATAATTACTTTCCCATTCTCAAAGCCATTTCAAAGAACTAAAATGCAGTTCTCACATCCCTCGTTTTTATAAAGCAGTAACCGCTCAGTGGGTGGAGAGAGCTCGGTGCTAGTGTATGGTCTTCTTGCAGAAGATCTGCGTTTAGTTCATGGCACCCATGTTGGGCAACTTACAGCCACCGGCCAAATTCCAGCTTCAGGGGATCCAAAACCCTCTTCTGGCCACAATTGGAACCCATGTGTACTCACGTGCACACACACACACACACACACACACACACACACACACACACACACACACACGTTAAAAGATACAAATAACTCCAAAGGTCATTAATGAACTTCCTTTTATAAAATGGCATGACCAACAGAAGGTGAACAAAATCCTAGAATTCACACTCTTTCAAACCTGTAAACCCTCACTACCGCTATCCTTTAAAAATTATTTGTATTTATGTGCTCCACGTCTGTATGTGCTCAAGGAGACCCGAGGAGAACAAAGGATCCCCTAGAGCTGGAGGGATAATAAATAGGCAGTTGTGAGCTACCTACGTGAGCACCAGGAACTGGTTCTCTCTCTGTGAGAGCAGTACACACTCTTCACCACTGAGACCCCTCTCTAGCCCCTCACCACCGCTAGTCTGTTCTTTCAATCCTCATTTCATTGGGGACTAGAAAATACCATAAATTGACATTTGGTAAACCCAATTCTGGATTTATGTGACTTTTCTGACAAATTCACTGACACAAAAGGTCATTTATATTTTTATTACAGATGAGTATTTCTAGTTACATAGGAAATGAAAATTAAATAAATTTTGTGATGTTTAAAATTAGGTCCTCAATCTCATAAAGTACCTTATAATTTAAAGGTTATAGTTCCTGTTAAGAAATATTTAATTTAATAGGCATATTTACGATAAAAATATTGAAAAAGACTCCAAACATACAGAACAGGAAATGATATACTCACAGCACTAAATTTTATTACTTTTATGTACATGTGCATGTGTGTAGGCCAGAAGCTGACCCGACACCAGGTGTTTTCCCTAATTGTTCTTCACCTTCTGTTCTGAGTCAGGGTCTCCCTGAACCCGAGGCTTGTCGCTCAGCTGGACTAGCTGCCAGTGGTTCCCAGGGCTGGGGCTACAGGTGCACACAGCACGCTCTGCCTCTTGTGGTACTAGAGGTCTGAAGTCAGGTATCCATGCTTACGTGGCGAGGGCTTTGCCAGCTGAGCCGTCTCTGTGGCCCGTGTTAGGTTTATGACACAGTTCATGGACAAGCTCCATGGACTAGTTAGAAGCGAGGCCTAGCTGGAGGAAGCAGCTCACTGGGAGGGATTCTGAAGGGATTTGTGTCTATTTCTACTCTCTCTTCCTTTCTTTCCTCACCATGGATTGAAACCTCAGAGACCATGGGCTACAACAAATGCTTCCTCCCCCGCTTTCCTTCACTGTGACAGAAAACTGACACACTGCCTTCACTCTCTTCACATAGACATGTAAATTCCAGAAATATTACCCACAGGTAGTGACATTTACTATACGATCACAGTCTAGTTTTAGCTGGTCATCTAACGTTCCTTACTGAACAAGCAATAGAAAACTGCTGGCTGAGGAATTGGGTTTTCTTACAATGTCCGAGTTGCCATCAGTTGGGCGCAGTCCCTCAGCCCTTGCCATTCCAGATCTGGGTATTTTATTAACTGGTTTGTGTGCTGCATGCGTGTGTGAACGTGGGGATGTGGAGGGCAGAGGCCAAAGTTGGGTGTCCTAGCTCCTAACCTTACTTTTTAAGGTTAGCTTCCTCACGGAACCTGGGCTACACTGGCTGCCCTGTGAGCTCCAGGGACTCATCTGTCACCACCCTGTTCACCCCCGACTTGCCTGCTTTTACATAAAAGCTGGACAAAGCTGGATACAGGTCTCCCTCTAACTAACAAGCACTTCACCCCAATCTTGGCATTTCAGAAGAGCACCGATCATTCATTTCACAGGATAGGATTAAATTTGGCTATCAGAGGGCAAGTTATACATTTTTGGAAGGCATACCATTCTTATGAGATATCTATTTTTCCCATTTCTACTGACCATGTGATATTCAAACTTCTGTCTGCTTAGAATTTCTCCAAGATAAAATTATCTTTGTCTTTCTAACTAGTAATTTCAGGGATGACGCTTTCTCAGTATGTAAATAATCTTGTTTCTTATAAACCATCACTTACTGTGATTATTTTAAGATAAGTTTTAATAATCTCTAATGTTCCTGCCTGAAAGCATTAGTACCGTGTGTAATTTCCTTACTGTGTCACGCCGTGACCTTGTTAGCGGCCGACAGTGCAAGTGAGTACAGCTTCTCCTCCACCTTTTCATTTATGTACTGCTCATGCCTTTTTTTTAAAAAAATAAAAATGTGTAGCTAGGCTGGCCTGAGCTGCCTCCACCTCCTCCAAGAAATCCTACCAGTGTGCACCACTCCTTTCCCTGTGCTGGTAACTAATCTCCTTAGGTCCTGATTAGTCCTTCCTGTGTTTTCACATAACTGAGTAGATTCGTTTCCTTATTTCTTTTCAAATATCAAATCAAGACGGGCGAGGTGGCGCACACCTTTAATCCCAGCACTCGAGAGGCAAAGGCAGGAGGATTTCTGTGAGTTTGAGGCCAGCCTGGGCTACAGAGCTAGCCCTAGGACAGCCAGGACTACACAAAGAAATCCTGTCTTTAAAAACCAAAACCAAACCAAACCAACAAACCAAACAAGCCCCAAAAGATAAAATATAGATCTTTCTTCATGTTGCCTATCAATTCATAGATACTTTATCATTTATTAAGTGTAAAGAACTCCAGCTCACGGATATTGCTGATTTTCAATCACTTTTCAATTATCTTTGCTTACCAACATGTACTAGTTTTATGTATTAGTAGGGTTAAATGTGATACATGTACTGAGTCCTGACTCATCAAATACAACTTTTCACTTTTCACTTTTTATTCACTTTCCCTATATTTTTCCCTATCTCTACTAGTTATTAGCCTACCATTGTTACTTTTTTTTTTTTTGAGAGACCAGGTATTGCTAAAACCACTGATATTGGCGTGAAACTCACCATAGTCCAGCCCAGCTTCAAGGTTATAATTCTTCTGTGATGTTTCCTACTGACTGATTTGATAATGCCAGATTGACCTTGAATTTATTGGACAGACTGACTCAGTCATGGTATGGTACCCTTATGATATAGTTAGGACATCATCTTGACTTCATTATAAAAACTTTTAACCCAATGTCAACGTATTATCAGACTATGTTAGATAATGTTTTAAAATTACTTGTTGCAGGGCACCTTTAACCCCAGCACTTGGGAGGCAGAGGCAAGTGAATCTTTGCCTCTCGAGTGCTCCAAGTTCAAGGCCAGTCTGGTCTACAGAGCGAGTTCCAGGACAGCCAGGGCTACACAGAAACCTTGTCTTGAAAAACAAAACAATAATACTAAAAAACAAACCAAGACAAAAAAAGCAAACCCAAGGCCAATCCAAAACAAAACCCCCCAAACTTGCCGTTACACTGTTTTTGAATTTTTATGCTGTCCTTGAAGACTCTGGAGACTTTTTTGGCACCTACAATTAACATCTTACTCAGTTTTTCTCATGGCTACTTGACTTTAGCCAGGACAAGGTCTGGCTCTAGAAGAGGCCTTAAGATTTTATTTTATTTTACAGAGAGATACATGTGATCACCTTATGTTCAGATTTTTACTCAGCTAGAGCGGTAACACTAACAGACAGTAAGGACATGTCATCCACCTTCTATTTCTTCATACAAACTCCTTAGGAACCACACCAGGGTGGCTCCGGCACTCACCTTCTCCGCTACTGCTCGCACAGACTGAACGCTTGTTCCATACAGATGGTTGTTATACTGGCCAGCTTCAATGAACTTATGTTCCTGGATGTCCTTTTCCATCTGTTCCCTTGAAGTCACAAAATGATAATCTCTTCCATCCACCTCATAGTCACGCTTTGGTCTAGTTGTATCTTCAATAAAAAAGAACTTGGGGAAGTGTTTCATATTTTAAAACAGAATAAACACATCTTTACTTAATTCATTGCTTTTTAAAAAGTTTAACACAATACTTTTAAATCTAAAAAAGAGAAAGTAATATTGAAGATGAAGGAGTAATTAATAAAACAATTAACTATAACCCTTTACAGCAGTTACATTTATTTTTACCAAACAGTGACAGAAAGTGCTAAAACAGTTTTAATTTGGGTTACTCACGAGGGACGCAGGATCCAAATTTGTCGGGAAATTCTGAGATTAAATCATCATTTACCCTGTCTTTCATGGGTCCCAATATAATGACTGGTCGAGTATAATTAACTACAAAGATAAACACATCAAAAAGAATATATACTTAACAAACACTAATGTGTTTTATTTTAGCAGAGAAGAAAACCATTCTGAAGAATCTCTTCTTTATTCTTTCTCTACATTATGCTGTTTTGTAAATAAATGTTATTAAAATTAAAATTACAACGTCCATCAAGTCAAATTGACCATCTTAGACCTTTCAATATATCGCTAACACCTCATTATAAACAGAAAACAAAGCATGGTGTTTTACTGGTGGTTTCTGAAGTTAAAAACTAAGAAAGCAGAGCAAAGAGGACAGGAACAAGAACAAGTGGGTGTAGAAGTGATGGACGACAGCAGTGATCTAGAAAGACGATCCAGCAGAGCACACAGTGGGCCATGCTGAAGGGAAGCTGGTGGTGAGTATCAGACTAGTGTTGTGGTTGGGGAGTTAGATCTAGTGAGGAAGATTCAACACATGGGATAAAGAGGGAGGGCCCAGAACCTGCCTGGGGGAAGGGGTAACAAACAAGGACATTAAAATCATCTCTGATTTTTTAAAAGTTATTTCAAGGGTAGTAATGAAATATTATACATGCTGAAAAAAAAAGTGGCTTAGGAATACAACACCAATAAAAACCAGTCAAAATAAAATGATTTGGTTCTAATATTCTCTGGGTTAAATAGTACTTCTTGAAATTCATATAGCAATTTCTACATATATAGTTAAAAACAGCAAAATTCCAATACAGTATTTGACTTGTGGGAGTTGCTTCTCTTTTTCCACCATGTTGCTTCTGGGACTGAACCAAGGCCATCAGGTCTGGCAGCAGGCACCCTGTCCACCTGCCCTGTCTCACTGGCCCTGAATATATACTTTTTAATAAGGCTAGAAAACATTAGCAAACTTCACAAACCTTCTTGTTGGTTCACTGGCTCATACGATAAAACATATTCTTCTTGACCACCTACGGAGAGTTAAAGCAAGGGTAAGGAAATCTCAAGGGAACGGATGTCAATGTCATCCTCGTCCACACAACTCACCCAGTTCCTTACACAGAAGACACTAGGACGTTCTGAGAACTGACAGGGTATACAAAAAGGTACTAGAGCAGAAATTATCCAAGGCAAGATTCAGTACAAAAGGGGAAATTATTAAACCATATAGGTAAGTTTGATAGACATGAGACAAAACATAAATGTACTATTTTTTCCCATAACTTAATGTTATTATGTGCTTCCTCTATTTATGGAGGTTTAATTACTGGAAGGCTGCCTGGTTTTGCTCACCAGTAAGACAGAAAACAGGCAACAAACAAGTAACAGCCTCCCTAGACAAAAAACCAGAACCAACAAAAATCCCTTCCTATAGACTAGGGCTGGATGTGGGACTGCTTGCCTACAATCCCAGCAAGCTTGAGGTTGGCCTGGACTATGTAGTGAGTTTCTGCCTAAAAAAAAAAAAATCAGAAAAACCCAATAAGCCATAGAAAATACTGTTTTTGTTCCAATTGAGTATATTTATCTAAAGCTATATTTTATTTTAAAAACAATTATAATCTTGCTTTGATTACAAAAGCACTTCAGAAGTTAAAGCATCTGAAGTTTAAATTAAAGGAGCTTTGTAAATATAAATGAAAAAGACAAAACAAAAAAAAACAAAACAAAACTACCAACTATGTGAACACCATGAAAATAATTAAAACCCTAGTTCTAAACATGTACTATAGAAAACAAACAGATTCAGTGACTGAATGAAAGCAATGAAAACTGAATCATGTATTTGGAAAATGGCCTCCTTATAAAGATTCTGTAACAACTCTACCACCTTTGTAATTGGTTTTTACTGTGTGTAGCTGTTGGCCTTATCAATCTGTAACAGTGGCACACATATCTGTACTTGTTTTAAACTGTGTGTTTAAATGTGTGTGCTTGTTTCCAATCTTATTACTGCAGTATCCCAAAACAGATACTTCATGAGCTGTTTTCTCTTCCTCTCTCCCTCTCTCTCAACTACTCATGTATCTAGGCATGGTGGCACACAGATCTCTATGAATTCAAGGTTAATCAGTTCTCTGTAGAGAGTTCCAGGCTAACTAAGGCTACACCTAGTAAGAACCTGTCTCAAAAAAAAAAAACAAAACAAAACAAAAAAAAAAAACAAAAGTTACTGATATAAAATATGGTTTACATACTACAAAATCATGCAGTTGGATATTCCACAACTTAATTCATGCAAATGGTGAGAAAAGACAGTATATACTTTCATTACCCCTTTTTAGTCTAGAAAAACCACTCAACTACTCTACAGTGGATTCTGGTTATAAGCAAATAAAGAAAAATTTTCCCATTTGTCTTCTTCAAATTACATAGCATTATGTAGAAAAAAAATCCAACCAACAAATGAGGGTTAAAAGTATATATTGCCAACATGAAATATCTGGGACTGGTAATGGGATTAACCTTTTGAGCAGCCATACTCATCTGTAATCAAGATTACTTTCATTTTAGACAGCAGTAAAAAAAGTCAGAAAAACAATTTTAATTTTTAAGTTGCTACAACTGATATTCACATACTCTCCCCTCTTTCTACACCCCAATTTGCCTAAAAAAAAAATCCATATTTATATAGTTTAATTAACATCAAGAATATAGTATTAAACATCAAGGGAGAAAACAGTATTACTTTTTGAGCAATGGTTGCACAGAATAAAAAGGAAATAAACTAATAATCATTTAGTATTACTAACAAATATCTTTTTAGTGCTTATGTTAAAAACAAAATTACTAAGAAAAATATGTTCATTCCCTATCAGATAATTACTTTTTATAAGATATGCACAAATCCACACACTATGTATCGTATACACAATTAAGTTGGTAAATGGGTTTGCTTTCATTAAAACCTTGAAATTAACCTTTCTATATGTGTGGCTCGAGGGCCTCTTAGCCAAAATGCTTGTAGCAAAAAATTTTTCCGATTTATTTTTTTGCATTTAAAAATACTTACACAGCCAATCCTGGCTAAGCAACTCTAAACTGAAAAGTTTGAAAATTAATTTGTTCTAGATCTGAAACTTTTAGAGTGTCACATTGCTGCTAAAGATTGTGAGTTTTGGGTCGGAGACACTCAAGTCTGTACTTTATTTGGCTTTTCCTAGTTTCTCAATCTTAGGTATCTGACCTTTAGTTTTATAGCTTATCACCGAGGAAAAGCCACTCGAAGGCACTTATCCCTTCTACAAAAGAACAAGACATGGAACACTTACGGTAGCTGCTCTCACTGTCGCTGGCGTTAGAAGTCACGTGCTCTGATGGGGAAGGAAAACAAAAAGAAAAACAAAGAAAACCCAGCGTCACAAATTTAAAAGCCGACAAAAGCAAATTGTCAAAATTAAACAAGGTGATACTATAAATGTTGAGATATAAACCACACATAACCACAGAATTTTTATAAAGCATTTTAGATTTTCTATGAAAAAGTTAAGTTTTCAGCTAAATTAACATGAATTAGCAAGGGGAAATGCCTGTAGTAGAAGAAAATGCCTTACTCTTTAAATATCGTTTATGAACAAAAGTCTCAGCAAAAACCCACGTAGAACATAGAACAGACACAATGCAATCTTGAATTAGTTCATAAAATACCATATCATAAAATCCAAAAGGAGAAAATATTTGGTACCATTTAGTTTAGGAAAGACCAGGAAGGACACAAGTTCCACTTGAGCAAGGAGAGGCCACCTCCTGATGGACAGGCACTTTCATCGTTTATAACAGGTAAGGTTTTACCAGAGCTTCTCCCCGCAGAACCTGGGCTCCAGAGGCCACCCAAAGCTCTGCAGATGACAAACTGTCTCACAGGTCACAAGGAAGGGAACTTGAGAGGCCGGCACTGTCTTTAATAGACTGGCATTCCTCAGCAACTGTGCTTTTTTTTTTTTTTTAAATATATTTTATTTTTATGTGCATTTGTGTTTTTGCCATGGGTGTCAGGGTCCCCTGAAACTGGAGTTACAGACAGGTGTGAGCTGCCATATGGGTGCTGGGAATTGAACTCGGGTCCTCTGGAAGAAGAGTCAGCATTCTTAACCCCTGAGCCATCTCTCCAGCCCGCAACTGTGCTTTGATAACAGACTACTTTGCAAAATAAGAGAACTCCCCAATAAATATTAGTAAAAAGCCACCTAGCTTCCGCTCACAAGTGGCCCCATTTCATAACTCAGCAAGTAACAGGTGCCCATCTCTCAATAAATATCTTTATATCTTCCCTGAATAAAAGAGGAAAAATTTTATTTATAAAAACAAAACCACAAACTTTCAAGGACAGAGGGAAACCTAAATTTCTAATGTTAGGGAAAGAACACCACCACCACTACCACCACCACCACCGATGACATTGTAAGACAAAGGAGTCTGAGGCTAAGGTCTGCTCAGGCCAATCAAGCAGCTCTGAAGAAAGAAGAGTGGACCTCATGTGAGTGAAAAGAAATCCGTTCATTTTAACTTGCAAAGAGACTCTCTTTAAAAAATGTGCATGTGTCGAGGCCACAGGTCAACACGGAGTGTCTTTCTCGCTAGCTTTCCAGCTTATTTTTGAGACTGTTTTTCACTAAAGCTGGAGCTCACTGACTGGGCAGGACTGGCGGGCCAGCCGAGTCCCAGGGATTCTTCCATTTTCACTCTCAAGTGCTAAGATTATAGGCATGTGCCATTCCACCAGTCTTTTTTTTGTTTGTTTGTTTGTTTTTTAAACATCAGGTCTTCACGCTTCTACGACAAACTTTGTTGACTGAACTACCTCCCCAGTCTTAAGGTACACACCTTTCTTAATCACAACTTATTTTAAATAAAGGGCTTAAATTTTAAAAATAGAATTAGGGGAGGGGGAGTCACTGGTAAGCTGCCCACCAAATAATCCTCTGCACCCATGCTCAAGGAAGCCCAATGTTCAGTGCACTGAAAAGGGAAGCAAAGACGTCCAAGGAAGAGACTTGTGGGAAGAAGGGTGCAGTGGGGCCAGAGAGCATGATGGGGGAAAAGAACTAAAACTTACACATGTAAGAGACTACCAGGGAGGAAAACAGTAAAAACTGTAAAGTTTGTCTTCTGTAAGTTAAGAAATTTCAATAAAATAATTGCACCTAAAACTTAGAAGTAGAATTAATACATGACAAGCACACATTAAAAACAGTATTTTAAGTGTGTATTAAATTTTGTCCTTTTCCATGTTCATGTGTACACATGCATGCTTTACACGTGCATGTGGCTGTGAATGCATGAGGAGCCTGACGAGGAGGCTGCCCATCATCCTCTGCAGCTCCTCCACCTTCTTCACTGAGGCTGGTCTCTCCATCAACCCTGGAGCTCACTGATAACACTGCTAGTCTCACCCGCTATTCTGCTTCCTTTGCCTGCAGAGGCTGGAATTACGGGCAGGCTACCACACCCATTCAACATTTACATGGGTCTTGGGGATTTGAACTCTGGTCCTTATAGCTATAGGGGCAACTGTTCTAACCACTGAGGTATCTTTTTAGCGCTCCCCTCCCCCACTTCTTTTTCACGTTACTACACGGACTTCAATACAATCATTGAGATTCTTGAATAATAGTCAATTTGATTTAAATTATAATTTATCTGTTAAACATTTCAGTGTGCTTTAAACTGTTTTTTAAATAACATTAATAATTCTAAATGTTTTAGCTTTTATTACTTTTTACCTATCCTATTTCTTTAAAATTTGTTGTAAGTAGAAATTAAAAAATAAAAACCTCTGAAGCCTGTATTAGGACTGGCATTACAATCTTTTTTTTTTTTTTAAAGATTTATTTATTTATTATGTATACAGGAGAGGATGCCAGATCTCATTACAGATGGTTGTGAGCCACCATGTGGGTGCTGGGAATTGAACTCAGGACCTCTGAAGAGCTGTCGGTGTTCTTAACCTCTGAGCCATCTCTCCAGTCCCTACAATCTTTAGTCTCTAAGTTGTAAAAGAAAGAAAAAGTTATCTGCAGGACAAGACTAAGTAGGTATGTAAGAGACAAAACTGATGAATGCTGAGCTGGGATTGATGAAGCAGGTAAAAGAACAGAGTTTACATTACTAGTCCACCCTTCAATCTGACACACTATAGAACAAAAAGTTATTATTCTTTTGTTTTTCATTTCACCCCCTCACCTCAAACCCTTCAAAACTCCCCAAAGGTACACTATACTAACTTTGCAGGGTTTTGCATTTTCTGTACTTAGTTCCTCTATAATAAAACATTGCTGTTCTGAGCTAGGCTTTGGAGTAGGTCAATCACTGCACTGCTTGAGAATTACAAGAAAGGTAAAGCGCCCTTCTCTAAAGATCCTGTGGGGGCGGGGCTGTTGTTGGGGGCGGGGCTGTAGCTCAGTGGTACAGCACCTGCTGAGCATGCAGGATGAAGCACATGCCCAAGCCCTAGCTCTGCCAAAATAAAAACAAAACAAAAACTTGAACATAATTTGCAAAAGAAAGTTGGAGAGCTAATACACAGATGAAAAGGTGTTTAAATTTACTTACAACACAACCACAGAACCAGACATGCCAAACAGAGACAAGGATATAAAGCAGCCAGAATCATCTACTGGGGTTAGGATTGAGGGGAAAAAGAGTCTGGACAACTATTTGCCAGGACAGTCATCGCTAAATATCTACCAAAGGTTGGTCCCAGGACTCCAGAGGTAATACAATGTGAGGATGTGAATGTCCCTTTCATAAAACTTGTGGATTTGTATGTATTTCCCACTCTCTCCTTTCCTTCTAGACAGAGCCTCATGTAATCCAGGCTGTCCTAGAATAGGTAGCTAAGTCCTTCTCACAGGCCTCTAACCTCCCAAATGCTGGGACCACAGGCAGAGTCGTCTTCCATATACTTTAACCCATTTTTATTCTGTAACCACAATACAGTGTAAATAATGGCTAAACTGTTCCGAGACTGAGAAGGAAATGACAGCCAATTCAGTAGACGTTACTGGAGGCTGGGGAGTGATAACAGTAGGTAAGAGCACACAGAAGGACTGCGGGCGGGTTTGTGAAATGCAGGAGCTGCAGGAGGAGAATGCCAACCCATCAGTTCGGTGCATTTAGTGTAGTGCTTTGAGGATGTGACAAATCCAAGGCCTATGCTTTGCAGATATCTAGACTTTTCTCCCAAGTAATTTTTGTTGTGGAATATTACTTTTACTATGTAAAGATGTGTTACATTTGTTTAACGATGTAAAGATGTGTTGCTCTGCCTACCTAGCACACCTGATTGGTCTAATAAGTTGAATGGCCAACAGTTGGCAGTAGAGGGACAGGCAGGGCTGATGGGCAGAGAGAATAAGGAGGAGGAGGAGCAGGAGGGGAGAGAGGGAGGCGCCTCTGGGCCAGCCATTCAGGCAGCTGCCAGTCAGCCAGACTCAGAGTAGGACATGTAGGATGAAAAAAAGATAAAAAGCCCTGAGGTAAAATGTAGGTGAAGAGAAACAGGTTAAATTAAGTTATAAGAGCTAGCAAAAAGGAGCCTAAGCTAAGGCCGAGCATTCATAACTAATAAGTCTCTGTGTCTTTATTTGGGAGCTGGTTGGCAGCCCAAAGAAGCCTGGTAAATTGGTGCCAAGATGCTATTTTACCTTCATCACAGTGGCTGCTCTTTTAATTACTAGCAACTTGTCTGCTCAGGCCATAGCCTGGGGGGAGTTCTGTTCCCCCAAACAATGGCTCTGTTGCTGCCAACAAACACAGTGCTAACTAACTAAATCTCTATAGTTCTAACAAAACTTGAGATTCAAAGGCTAGGGAGAAAAACCTGTGAGCTCAGAGAGAGCAGCAAACGCCTAACTTTCTCTCTCAGCTGGCATCCCGGGAAGCCATTCCCTTCTACACTGCCCCAAATAAAAAACCCACACTCAGGTCCTACCTGCTACTTCCTGTCACCTAGTTGTTAACCCCGACTCTCTGAGTCTAGGTTAATTTTATTTAATCAACTCAAATGGAACACATCTTTACATAGTTAAATAAATGCAGCATAGACAAATATAACGCATCTTTGCCTAAACAAATATTCCACAGCAATTTTCAACCTGCAGTTTGATTAATTCTTAGATAAGGAAACTATGCATATAGAGAGTCAATTTTGTAAAGCTAAACAAATATATATGTACAACCTAAAAATCTCTCCCTCTCCTATGTATTTCCCCAAAAGAAAGGCATATATCTCAATCTCAAAAGATATGCACAAGAATATTATTTTTGACTGCATATCTGAGGTACGTAGCTTCAGTTTGACTTTTGGTTTGTGCTGTGAGCATTTTCCATGTCATCTGTATGTAGATCAGGCTAATCTCAGGCTGTGATGCTCTTGCTGTGTCTTCCCAGGACCAGATTACAGGCATGAGCGACCTGGTTAATATGATTTTCAACTGTCATATAATACTATAAATACAGATAAGTCATATTTCATTAACCATTTCCAAATTAGAGACAGGATGGCTTCAATCTTTTTTATTCTTTTTGCTGTTACTTCTAAATAATGATAAAATTTATCTTCATCTCCAATTATATCCCGAGGATAATCTCCCTGAAAAGGATTTAATGGACTAAAAGAAAATTTTTGAGAAAGGCTGTATTAATTTACACTTTTAATCACAGTGCTTTAAAAAGCTACTCTATAGAACTATCTCCACCATGGACTGCATCTCTAGGCAATGGGTAGAAGGCATTACTTTGTATATGCTGACTACTGGGAAAATACACACGCTTCTTCTGCTTATCTTCTGAGCTCTGCTGGGCTAGGTAGGGGCTGCACCTGTGGCGTCTCTCAGAGGTCCATAAATGAAGGACTTGGTCCCCAGCTTGACACGAGCAGAAGGTGTAGACACTTAAAGCTGCAGCCTCGTGTGCAGCTTTAGGCCACTGAGGGTGTAGTCTCCAAGAGGGCAGGAAGTAGGACACTAGCCTTTTCAGGCTTTTTCTGTACTTTCTGGAACCCTGAGGTGAACAGCTTACTCCACCACACACATTCTGCACTTATGTGCTATCTTGCCACATGCCTCCCAAACAGCAGGGCCAAGCGATCATGGGCTGCAACTTCCAAACTGAGTCAAAGTGAACGTGTGTCTTTATAGCTGATTCTCTTAGGTTTTGCTAGTAAGAGAAAGCCAACACACTTGTCTCATTCCCTGTCTAGTTTTCTAGTGGATAGATGTTTCTTACTGATTCATAAAAAACCCTGTACTTGATGCAAATATATTCTTCAGGTCTAAAAATGCTTGTGGGGTACCTGTCTAGGAAATGTGAGGCCTCAGGTTGAGCCTCTTAATAATACAGGAAGAAAGTACTCCCTAAGCTTTCGCTCCTCCTCTTCCCTCTCTCCTCTGCTCTTCTATTTTTACCATGTTGACCTGTCTTCGCAAACACTTCCTTTCTGACAGGGCATGTATTGTTATTCTCTCCAAATGTTACACTGCCAATTCCAAGCAATACTACTTGACAGATTATTTGTAATCAAAGTAAAAGTCAGCCTGGCTTTGGCCCTTGAGAGCTGTGCACAACTGCTCACATCAGCTTTTAGAACAAGAAGAAAGCAGACAGACACAAGAAACCTATGTGGCTAGCGAGGTGCTTTATAAAATTGAAAACTGTGAAGATAGAAAGGAAATAGAAAATGAGAGTGTCGTAGACAGGCAAATTCCTTTCTGAAACTGTGTGTTATGATTTCACTTCAGAGTACCCCATCTACTGCCCATTGAGTTGTATCTCCTTTAGTCTTATTTACTGAGTTTTGAACTTTAGCATACAGGTTAATGAAGTCATAAGTAATACCATGATGTACCCTTCTTCCAGTATTTTCTCTAGAATGAGCAGCTTCTAATGCTTTATGTGTTTGTTTTACATGATAACCTTCTTCATACCCAGTTTTAGAATTCTACTGGCATTTTTCTGTCTCCTTCAATATTTTCTGAATAAAACCTTGACCTTTAGATTGCCAAGTTAATAAATTCTTTCAATTCCTAAGAAATGAAGCAGATACTTATAACAAAATGAATTATAATACACTATGTAGAAAATCAAATCTTTCTCCAAATGACATTGCCTGATAATCATTTTTCTTCGTAATTTTTTTCTTAAGGAAGTTTCAATTCCCAATTAGAGAGAGACATAGGGTGAGGTGTAAGCATACATAACAGCGTATGTTATGTATGTATTATGCAGGAGCCATAATCATCTCTAGCAGCACCAGTGGGAGCCCAGTTCCCGCTGAGTTCTTTTTAGTGTTTTCATAGGCCTCTGGTACTTTAAGGAGATTAAAAAATTCCAAGTTGATGCATATAACCTCTAAAATATACGAACCACAAAATAAATCCCAGAGCATCTGGGGAGACATTTTCTAGTTACTGAAGGTTTTCATTGACAACTTCCCTAAAATGTAAAGAAGCTGCCACTAGTGATAGGAAATCTGTGGTGCCACCGAATTATATTTTTAATTAAAACTTTTTCATACAATATATTTTGATCATGTTTTTCCCCTACCTTAACTCCTCTCAGATCCTCTGCATCTCCCTACTCACCCAACTAAGCAAACATAAAAAGAGCACAGCATATCTAGAGCGAAGTGTGCCTAGAATTCAGCATGCCTAGCAGAAGTACTTTACATACATATAAAGTACACTCTCTTCCGCCTAATGCAAACCTAAGTCATTAAGATCGAAGTAAAAGTAAATCATTAAAATGTAAAAATCCATCATTAAAACTGTAACATTTAATATTATTTAATGATGTAGTTCTTGGAAGGCTAACTAGTTAGTTATCAATAAAACTCTACAAGTTTTCAAAATGCCTAATAATTCTAATGAAATGAAGAATTTAACAAAAAAATTAGCTTGAATGATTATTTCTATGAGTCATGATCACCTAAATTTTAACTTAGTAATATTAGGTGGCTTTTCATATTTCAGTGATTTGAAAATAGCCAATTTAAAAGTAACTCACTCTGTAGACCAGTGATGTAATTGCACTCAGTGTCAGTGATGAGATCACACTCAGTGTCAGTGATGGGATCACACTCAGTGTCAGTGATGGGATCACACTCAGTGTCAGTGATGGGATCACACTCAGTGTCAGTGATGTGATTACACTCAGTGTCAGTGATGAGACCACACTCAGTGTCAGTGATGGGATCACACTCAGTGTCAGTGATGAGACCACACTCAATGTCAGTGATAAGATCAC